TGAGATAGAAGAGACTGATGGAAAGATTCCCTTGTAAATGTGAGACAGCCAGGCAATGATCAAGATGACTAAGCAACCTTAGGGATGTGTGACTCAGTGGGCTAACGCAAGAGTATTTAGCTTCATGACCTACATCTTAGTCATCTAACAAAGGACTCACTGGTTTGGAATTTAATGTAAATTCCATCTTAAAGTTTGATAAAAACCAAAAAAACAAAGCCACTTCTGTCGAGTCAATTCTGACTCATAGTCACCCTATAAGACAGAGTAAAACTGCCCCATAGGGTTTCCAAGACTGTAAATCTTTATGGAAGCTGACTGCCACATCTTTCTCTCATAGAGCGGCTGGTGGGTGCAAACCACCAACCTTTTGGTTAGCAGCAGAGTGCTTAACCACTGAGCAACCAGGGCTCCTTTTGGAAAAGTAAGGGACTCACAAATGGTGTGAAATGCTGGTTTTATTTGATAAAAATTCTATTCATTGCTTTGATAAAGCCAAGTAAACTGTGGCAGGGCCAATTTCACATAAATTCTGCCAATGAACCAGATTATCATTTGCCCATACGCCCTCCAACCTATAATCTATAAAAGCAGCTATTAACTAAACCTGATGCCTGTGAATGGCCCTTTACATAATGGGATTTAAAAGTCCTAAGGAAACCAACCTATATTGAGAAGTGAAGTTTTAATTAGCAATATATAATCTCTTCAAGAAGAACAACGTGATTATAATTTAACACCAGGCAGATTAGGGTCTTATCACAAATAATTTGTTTTTAATTTACCCTAAGTAGCTACTATTCAAAGTCACTATGCTATGTTTTGCTTTGTGTATTTTAACTCACACTGGTTCCTTTTATACATTCCCTCATAACGTTTATTACATTTATCAATAAAGAACAACTATTTCGTCTTTCCTTTTAGTAGGCAGAAAACTTAGTTTCTGTCTTTCTCTGTGGAATAAGAGATTTCATTAAGATAGTCAGATGGTAAGAGGTTTCATGTGGATTCTTTCTAGCATAGCTCCACATTAACATAATGGAGATTAAAAAATATGGACACCAAAATAATTTTGAAAACTGAAGTTAAAAACTTTAATAGGATTCAAATTAATACCTATCAAGGGACACTGGGTTGTGGGACTAACCAACTACTTGTGGTAGGTTGGCCAGCTACACTCTGCACTAGCATACAATCTTCTGTAACTATTTTATCATTAGAGCTCAGGCTCTAGGATGGCTGACAGCTAGGAATCTACTAACTTGCTGTTATGGGATCCTGGACAGTGCACTTATGTGACCTTCTCCCCACTGCTGGATTGGATCTCTGAAAACATCAATTTCAGTAGAACAGTTGTTCAAAACAGCTGTCTTGAAAAGTCAAGAAAGAGACTTTTTACTAGTGAAGCAAAGAAGCAAATGTTGATGTCAATACCCTCCTTGACAAGTCCAAACTCTAGCTCAGTAACTTCTGCTTCAGCAGTCAATGAAACATCAGTATGATCAAAAAACTACAGTTACTATTAAGGCAACTACGATTAAATGAACTATGGCTGTCCTCTTAAACCATGTTCTCATTAACAACTTAGAACCAGTTCTCAAACTACATTTTTTTGCATTTCTATAAACAGACTGTATGGTCCTTAAAGGTACAGAACTTATCTTTAATTACAATGGTATTCCTCTGAAAGGTCTGGGGGACTCCTGGGAATTCTCAAGACACTTTCAGAGGGTCTGTGAAGTCAAATCTATTTTCATAATATTAAGACGTTATTTGCTTTTCTTCATTCTCATTCTCTCACAAGTGTACCATGGAATCTTCCAGAACCTACATGATGTTAACATGTAATGGGTCTATTATTGTTTTTTAAATATAAATAAATATATATATTTAACAATTTCTCTGTTTTAATTTCTAACATTATAAATATCAATGAACACAATCCATATAAACAAAAGCTTTTTGGAATTCTGAATAATTTTTCAAGTGTGTAAAGTGGTCCTGGGACCAAAAATTTGAGAAACACTGCTCTAGGGTCACTATGAGTTGGAATTGACTCGATGGCAATTGGTTAAGTAGAATATGCAAGACTCTGTATGAAGCTCCCAATAAATGTTTGCCACCTGAAATGCTCTTTAGACACTGCTCCATGGGATGTTATTTCACAGTTTCAATCAATTGGCCAGTAAACTTAGTATAATACAGTTTACATGACCATTAACTGCCATCTTTGAAGAGTTGGGATCATTTAAAATCAGAATTGTGATTAGAAAAACTATTTCATAGGACTTGTTTGAATTAATACTTTAAAATGTAGAAAGATACACTTCTAATATAGAAAGATATATTTTAACGCATACTAAAAAAAGGTATGCAATTGCTTTATTGCTTTTTGCGGGGGTAAAGTTATATTACTTCAACCATAACCAAAAAAAAGAAGAAGATGTAAAACTGAAATATGATGCAATTCGTATGTTTCTTTAAATAAAATCAGAAAGCATGATATGACATTTAAAAAAAAAACATTTGCTGGGAAAACAATCTGATTCGGTTTCTACAATAAAATATAATGTTTTAAAATATAACAATCACAAATTATAAAGGGTTGGCAAGCATCTCTATAGAAACATATGGAAAGTCTGTCTGTCCAAGTTTGCTTTCTTTATTGTTAATGCATTAAAAAAAAATTTTTTTCATTGTACTTTAGATGAAGGTTTACAGAACAAATAGTTTCTCATTAAACAGTTAGTACACATACTGTTTTATGATAATGGTTAACAACCCCACAACATGTCAACACCGTCCCTTCTCAACCTTGGGTTCCCTATTACTGGCTTTCCTGTGCCCTCCTGCCTTCTAGTCCTTGTCCCTGGACTGTTGTGCCCCATTAGTCTCATTTTGTTTTATGGGGCTGTCTAACCTTTGGCTGAATGTTTACCCTCTGGAGTGACTTCATTACTGAGCTAAAAGGGTGTCCAGGGTATCGTTAATGCATTTTAAGTTATATCATAAGTCATATAATTCATTTGTAAACCGTAATCAAGATAAAATATTACTTTTTGAGGGAAGATTTTTATCCAGGGCCCCAAAGTTATAAATTAAAGTATGCTAATTTTAGAAGGCCAAAATACTGCTAAGCAAACACCCGGTCTCTTATGGATCAATGCACCCACCTGGATGGCATGTTTAACCCACTTAGACTGCTAAAAGGAAAGCTCTTCAAAAACAAAGACAAAGTCAAGGAAAAAAAAACCCACTAATATCGTAGCACCTTCGTCAATGAACAAACTCCAACTGTAACAGTAAGTTGAGACACTATCTCCAAGGGTTATGAAATTAGTATTGTTAGGAATGCATTATTCAAGCAGAGGGCTTGGATGTGCTTTGGAAAAATCTCTGGATGTACTTTTGTTGCTTTACTGACTGTTTAGGCTGAAGCTCAATGCAATGGATAAGATCTTTGTTATACTCTAGATACAACAGAAGTACGCGTGTAAACATAAACTCACCAGAATGCATCTGTCAAAGCCCCTCTAAATATTTAAATACTAGAAGCAGACATGTGCCACTATGTCTCAACAGAACCCAACGCGAAGAGTCCTCAAAATTACACAGCTGAAATCTGTCAATTAATTTTGTTTTCTACATAGCATAACATCCATGACTCAATGGCTAGCAAAGCAGATATTATAATCAACAAAGTAAGTATGTTTTCTTAGTAATGAGATGCAAGGTGATGCTAATGTGGTAGACTGTCATCCTAATCCATACAGATCAGTAGTTGTGTCTAATCTTCTTTATTATGGCCATGCATCCTGGTTTTGGAACAAATCATTTATTTGGTCTTTTGACTAAATCTATTCAGGATTTAGATACAATCACTCTACTAGCATTAAAGTAGTTTTTGACATAATTCCATTTTCTGGGCTGGAGAAACATAGTTGCATATATTAAGTAAATGTATATATGGCAAACTGAAGAAATGGCAAGCAAGACAGACAGGACTGTGAACTAAAACAATGACTGAGGCCATCAACTCACTACTGTTGATGGGAGGTATGGTAATTATGCAATCAATTATTTTATGCTCCTAATTGCCTAGTCATCACTGAAAAACTGTCAGCATAATGACTTCTAGAATGGACAGTGGGTGTGTGTGAATTCCTTCCTGTGGGAGTTACGAATGTAACACCACACTGCCTAGGGTAGGGCAAGGGAGAAGAGAGGAGGAGGAGAGAAAAGCGAAGATGAAAGGAATCGACAAAATAAATGCATTTGATGCAGTAGAGCTATGGATTGCTAGATACAAAAGAAGGCCGACTATCTGTTAATGGTATCAGAGATAGTTTGGTTCACTTTAAACAAACGTGAGATGTAAGCCGAGATACCAATAACAGGCTCCTCAACTAGCCTGTGGTTGAAACAAAATAAAAATATTTGAAAAGATCAGGTTGTGCTTTTAGCATGCCATAAAGAGAGTAAAGGAAAAAAGTTCCTGAGTAGCAAAAGGATTTGTTGTTTGGATGTTGCCAGGACAAGACTAGAAGCACTGTCTGAAACTCCCACAAAGAGTATTGTAGATCAGAGAACTGGCCACTAGAATGAAAATGAAAGAAGTTCTCTAGCTAAACACATGACTATCAGCACGAAGTTCACCTGAAGTTGGTCTACAATCCATTCTGAAACCCAGGATCTTAGGTTATTTCCCCATCACCACCAGCCCTTGCTTTCTTTCAGAATTTCAAGGAATAAATGCTCCCAACTGTAGGTAATTATAATGCCTTTCTATAAGTGCCATTTATTTGTGTTTATCTTTTTCTCCTAGATGCAGCAGAAAGAAAGTGGTTACATGATAAAAAGGATCATCTTACTTTTTAAGGGAGGCTTAAATAATGTGAAAGTTGGAAAGAAAGGAACTTTTTGCCTGTTGCCCATTTCCATTTGTCCCTGAGCATTGCTAGAGCCTGCATGAGATTCTAAAAGCCTCCTGTGATTCTAACCTCTTAAATCCTGTTGTGTACGAGCACTGCCCATGCTCTGTCTTGGCATTCGAAGAGAAGTTCTCAAAGGTGTGTGTCTCTGCTCATCCAGGTAGGCAAGGTCCTCCAAGTGGGCAGAGCTGGTGGCTGACAAGACAGAAGAGTTCAGTTAGAACATGTAAGCTTGGAAAACTTCTTTCAGTTAGTCTGTATCTCCCAAACTTTGGGATCAGATATTCCAGCAGATACATTTTAACCAGAGTTTGCTAAACTCAAAATCATCATCAGTGTCTAGAACATGTGCCAGGGAAACATGTCAAGAGTTGTCTTCAGCTCCTTCATCACTATCAACTGCTTGAGCTCACAGGGAGTACTAGCAACAAGTTGGCAAACACATTATTCAAGGTCTGTTTAGAGATGAAGTGGTTATTCAACAAAAATTTAGTCATTTTATATTAACACGGGTGACACATTTGTACCCGACAACAAAAATTATTAGCTGCTGGTTCTTTGGGGTCACAAATCCCGTTTGTAAAACAAGATACAAATATCCTCAGTAGATATAGCTTTTCCAAATTATATTGGACTGTGAGAAAAACATGAAAGCTCTATTTTCAACATTTTCCATTCATGGTAAAGAGTGAAATATAAAAACATTCTGAGAACATTTACATACATGTTAGATTCATAATATAATCAAACCAAAACCAAACCCGCTGCTGTCAAGTCAATTTCATTCATAGTGATCCTACAGGGCAGGCTGTAAATCTTTACAGAAATAGACTGCCACATGTTTCTCCCATGGAGTGGCTGGTGGGTTCGAACTGCCGACCTTTCGGTTAGCAGCCGAGCACTGAAACGCTCGGCTGCTAACCGAAAGGTCGGCAGTTTGAATCCATGAGCCGTTCCTTGGAAATCCTATGGGCAGCAGTTCTACTCAGTCTTACAGGGTCGCTATGAGTTGGAAATGACTTGATGGCAACAGGCTTGCTGTTTTTTTGGTATGTATGTATACATAATAAGTATGCATGCATGTAAAGAGGGGAAACGTGGGTACATGAGGCACTGGACAGAAAATTGCGAAATAGCATTTAGGGAACTGATAATGCTTGTTAATTTAAAAAAGAATTTTTTTTTTTGGTTGATCTCTGAATATAATCAGGTAATAAAGGCTTCATACTGCATCTATAAATTCTTTATCCCCTAACCCAGCCACAAAAGAAAGAGAGAATGGCAGAAGATAGGGTGACTCAGGCCTTCTACCTGACAATACAGTTCCAATAAAGAAGGTGAAGCAGATCTAGTGAATATCTCCATTTGGCGCTCTCCAAGAATGACTGTGGCAATTGAATTACTGGTCCCAATTCTTTACCCCTTCCTGTATCCATGTTCTTTGTCACCTGTCTTTGCATTTCTCCCATTAGAACTGCATCCCACTTTGCAGTTATTCCCATTAGAGGTGGAGTGTACTTCCCTGCCCTTGACTTTGGGTTCAGCCATTTGACTTGCTTTGACTAATGTGGTATATTAGCAGACCTGATCCAAAGAGAGGTTTAAAATGTGCTTGTGCACTTGAGTGTGTCTTTTTTGCTTATGAGTACAAATTTCAATTAAATAATAGCTTCATAATCCATTTTACTTTCTTTGTGTTAAAAAAATCTTTTCGCAAGTAGCTTTGGTCACAGGTTTAGTTTCACGCGTTCAACTTCTTATATTCAATGAAAAACAGTTGGCAGCTTTTGTAAAATGTGTTTAATGTGAACTTAACAAGTTATATTAAGCTAATCTTTACCATAAAAAGTTTCTAGGAAAATGAACGCCACTTTCTATCTCTTTATTTCACGAAGCCAAGAAATGTGTAAATATATTTTAAAATGAGTTCATTTCTCAATTTCAGACAGGTGACATTAGAAGAAAAAGACAAATGCTGCCATCATCAAGATGGATGAATAGTTCATTCCTTCACAAATTCAAACACTCACAGGCTAACTGAACTAAAGAAAAGTAGTAATATTCTATATCAAGCACAATAGTTCTGGACCCAATTCAGGGCTTAGACAGACTTGTGATCAGCAAGTGGGGAACTATTGCTTTAATCTGGGATTGAAATTAAATTACAGTGTTGTTACCAGAATCTATTAAAACATTCATTCTTTTTCTTGTTTTAGCAATTAATATCTTTTTTGTTGGTCACTGAATCTGTCACTATTTTCTTTAACAAATAATCCAAAATCATTTTCTACAGTCTTTTTTTTCTTATTAAATCACTGTTCTCAATTCTACTTTCAGCTTCTCTCTGGTTCATCATTTTCAAAATTATTACCCATTCAAAGACATTATTTACAGGCATATGAGGCAAATACTGGAAAGATCAGCCATAGACCTGAAATTCTGTTAGCTGTTGCCCTTTATTCTAATAGTTTACATCAATGCACTCTTCCTCATAGTCACTTGAATCTTTTCCATTTGCAAGCCATTTTCTGAGAAAAAGTCTTTTCCATTCCATGTCAGGCTTATTTTACCCTTTGTCAAAAGTGTTCAGGCTATACCTTCTCTGCTTCCTTGATCGCCAGTCAGAATTAATTGCTTCTCTCTTTCAGTAACCACACACATACATAGCTATTTAAAACTTGTGTTATTCAGCTGGTTGCTTACATGTCTGTTTTCCCTCACTAGATTATAGGAAGGAGCCCTGGTGGCACAGTGGTTAAAGCGCTTGGCTGCGAACTAAAAGGTCAGCAGTTCAAACCCACCAGCTGCTCTGGGAGAAAGACATGGCAGTCTGCTTCTGTGAAGATTACAGCCTTGGAAACGCTATGGGGCAGTTCTACTCTGTCCTATAGGGTTGTTATGAGTCGGAATCAACTTGATGGCAGTGGGTTTGGTTTTTTTGGTGGATAGATTGTAGAAAGTTCCAAGAGAGCAAAAAAGGCAAGGTCTGATTCATCTTTGATCACATTATCCCTTCAAAGTAAATCAGAGTATCTTGCACAAAATATTCAATGCAGAACTGAATTCCAGACTGTTGCTGTTGGGGCCCTGGTGGTGTAGTGGTTAAGCGTTTGGCTGCTAACCAAAAGGTCGGCAGTTTGAATCCACCAGCTTCTCCTTGGAAATCCTATGGGGCAGTTCTACTCTTCCCTATAGGGTCACTATGAGTCAGAATTGACTTGACGGCAACGGGTCTTGGCTGGCTGTTGTGTGTCGTCGAGCTGATTTCCACTCATAGAAACCCCACGTGACAGAGTAGAACTGCCCCATAGGGTTTTCTTAACTGGAACTGTTACAGAAGCAGATTGCCAGGTCTCTCTCCAGTGGAGCTGCTGGATGGGTTTGAACCACTAACCTTTTGGTTAGCAGCTGAGTGCTTAACCATTGCATCACCAGGGCTTCTGAATTCTAGACTAGTCCTGTTTAGATTGATAAATCTGTCTGGCTCTATCCTAATCCTCCTCATTGTTCTAAGCTTTCTTACTGCATAGCAGACATCATCGTAGTCATATGTATCTCCAAGGATGTTCATATTATCCTCCTGCAGGTACTGCTGATCTTTTACTTTTTTTCATAGCACTTATCACCTAACATACTATAAAATCTACTTGTTTATTATGTTTATTTTATTTTTCCCAGCTAGAATGTAAGTTCCATCCAGGGTGGGAATGTTTGTTTTGCTTACTGATGATTTTCAAGTCCTTTGAACAGGGCCTGGCACATATTAGATGCTAAATCAGTACTTGTCTACGGATTGAATACTTGTATTTATGCATATACTTTGTGTTTTGGCTACATTCAAACAACCGACAAATAACAAATTAGCTTTTGATTTACTGGGTTATTTGAAAGCTAAAGATGAAGGAGGTAGCAATCTCAAACAATGCCTTGTACATCACCATCCCATACAATCACCAATGACAACTCCATAGGGACACATATATTTCCACCTCATAGAACTATTCTTTCTGTGAAATTGTGCTGGCACAATTTTCTGAGATAATTCTGTTACGTTAAATTAATACTATAATATTTAATGAACACTTCCCAGTTACAAATATGAGACAATTAGGTAAGTAGAACTGAAGACACAGGAAAAACAAATCTACAATAAAAATGTTTATGTAACAAGACAAAGCTTTAAGAAGTAAATCCACAAAATCTGTCATTAAAAAGCTTTGTTTTTAGAGGAGGAAGAAGGAATAGGATAAATGGAACTTTTTTGAGGACTACTCACTTTTGGAGCATTTAAGTGACGTACTTTTATGAAGTCAAAATAATTTCTTTATACCACAAGTGAGCAGACAAAAATCAAGCAGACATGAGATGGTACAAACAGTCCAGAGACAACTATATGTTGAGTTTGGAAACAAGTCTAAATTCTTTCTTCTTAAATCAGTTGCCACTAATGCAAACAGATTATAGTAGCACAACTGTCATTCTGGCTGACCTGAGCAGGGAGCCTGGAATGACACTTTATGTTTGCTAAGCCTGGGCAAGAAGCCACTCTGCTGTCCTTACTCCCTTGATACACACGTAAAGCCAACATTCTGACTGATGTAAAATCCATTTTTCATTTTTGTAAAATCCTCATTATAGTTTCTGGTTGGATTCATTTAAATGCCCCTGGATTCCCATCTTGCATTTACCTGATTCTTAAGATCCTTTTCCCAGGAAAATGTGCAGCTCCAAAAATTAACAAGTGGATGGTGAGAGTTTATATTTTAACTGGACTGCTGTTGTTTTGTATATTTCCCTGATAGACCCTTCATTCTCACACGAAGCACTGACGACAGCTGTTTCAAGCAAACATTTCCTGCTTCCCACATCCCTCAAATTCACTGCCAATCTCATTTTAATACATGAAGGATGACCATAGACAGCCTACTCTCTGAGAATTTCTGCCATGCTACCGCAAGTCCACAGGGTCTTCTATTTCCTTTCAATACACCAGGCTTAAAAACAAATATGCAACAGTGATTTACATTTTGAAAACAATAAAACATCTAGGTTTATTTTTCCATATTTTAAGTTTTAACTTAAAAGCATATTTATATATCTACATTTACATTCAGAAAGCTGAGCTACTCTAGGAAAAACATAAGCCTTACTGCTACAGTCTACCAAAACTCATCCTTAATCATTTTATTATTCCA